GACTCTGACCGCGGAGCTGGGGTTTCCTCCAGAGACCGGCGGAAACCCATCTGGACGGCCAACTCCTCGTCCTCGCATAAGATGAGGTCTCATTCGACGGATCAAGAGATCTCGGTGTCGGATCCGCTGCCTGTCATGTTAGAAAAGGCTGGCCAAGAGCTTGGGAATGGAGTGGAGTTTCTAGGGTTTGGTCCTGGATGCGGATGACACGGATATATGTGGGTCAGGGGGACTTGTGTGTGTCGGATCTGACGTGGAGGACGTGTCCGGGCCTCTTCATATCCGCCTTAGATATGATCTGAATATGAAGGATGCCGGTCAGCTCGGACGGGCCAATACGAGGGATGCGGCTGATTCACGATTTCTTGACCGGTCACTGATCGGGCCATCCACCCGAACCATAGGGTGGTGTTTGAGGAATGCTTTCACCTAATATACCTTTTCTTGAACTGAAGTACCTAGTAGTCCACTGGATTATGAAAGACCATTGAGCTAATCCGCGGCACATGCAACATCGCCAAGTTGCCCATATTAGTGGCAGAAGAACATCGCCAAATGCATGAATGAAGTGTGAGCATAAAGAAGGAAGGCAAGGATCCAGCGAATCAGGCGGTGCATCCATCGGGGGTTGGCTTCTGGTCCAGTTCGAGTCCAAAGCCGCCGATTCCGAGGACCGGCACTAGCCCCCGGCGCCAAGGAGATCCGACAAGGACGCCGAGCGCCGCTGCCGCTCCGCCATCCAACCGCGCGAAAAAAATCTCGGCTTCCCGTCGAGAAAAATCCAAGCCAATTCTCCCACGGGTCCTGCCACTGCCGCAGCGCTGCTCTGCTCCTCTTCTTCCTCGCCCCCTTTCCGAGCGAGAGAGGGGACAAGCGCTCCGTACATATACCTCGACTCACTGCCTGAAGCTGCTCGCCTGCTCCTGCTCTGCTCCGGTTCGCCAAGAAATACAGGAGAAGGGAGGGGAGGAGACTTGTCTTGTCACTTCTCCAGTGGTTCTTACTATCGGCGCGCTGGGTTGATCGAGCGGAGAACAGTGGTGGTGGTGGTGCTCAGCCGAGAGGTCAGGTCAGTGGTCAGGAGTTGGGAGCAGTGGACTGATTGTCTATCTCCCCCTCTCGTTCTCCGTTCCTTTTTGGAAGTGAAGCGATCCTCCTCCCCGTGGGTCTGCTGCCCGGAGGCTGGAGCTAGAAGAAGGAGCAGGGTAGCCTGCCTTGCTCGTTCCCCTTTCTGCTTCCTTCCAGGTCTGCTTTGCCGCTCATCTTCCAGGTTTGTTTTCCATGGATGGCTTCTCTTTCCTTTCGGGGATTGATGGATGGCTTTCCACGCCCAAGCTTCTTGCTTCGGCTCTCTTGGATGAATGGATAATGGAGTGTTGATCTTCCTTGCAGTCCCGGCGGCCGTGGCGGCATGGACGGCAATGGGAGATCGGCGGCGAGTCACAAGAAGCCTCTCGTGTAAGGACTTCTTTTCTTTTCTTCTTGAGAAATTTCCCCCCCTTTTTCGTTCGTTCGTTCGGGCATCCATCGATTGAGTCATGGGCCATGGCATCCGCAGCGCGGACAACGACCTGGTGGAGCTGCTGTGGCACAACGGGGGCGTCGTCGCGCAGCCGCAGACGCACCCGAGGCCGGCGCCCAGCGGCCTCGCCGGCGGTGGCGGGGAGACGGCCGCGTGGTTCGCGGACGACGTCGACGCGCTGGGGAACGACGTGTACGCGCAGCTCTGGAACAGCATTGCGGTGGGCGCCGCCCCGGACGTCGCGTGCGCGGCGCTCCCGGGGCCCAGCTCCCACCCTCCCCCGCCGCCGCCGCCGCCGCCGATGCCGAGCGGCATCGCCTCCAGCTGGACCGGTGGCGACATCGGCTCCACCTTCTGCGGCAGCAGCCTGGTCCCGGAGGTGCCGGCGGGGGGCAGGGAGGAAGCCAGCGCCGCACCGCCGTCGGAGGGGACGCGCGAGGCCAGCACGCGCGACGGCGGCGCCGGCACCTCGTCGTCCGGCGGGTCCGGGAGCAACTTCGGGGGCTCCGGCCTGCCGAGCGAGAGCGGCGGCCATGCCCACAAGAGGAAGGGCAGGGGCAAAGACGACTCTGATAGCCGCAGCGAGGTGTGTTCCTTGGTCCGGTTTGTCCCTATATTGCTCAGTTGCAATTTTTTCACCTGTACAAAATTTGCTTGAGCTCAAACTGAATAATGGAATTCAAGAGGAAATTGCAGGATGTGGAGTGTGAGGCCACTGAAGAGACCAAATCGTCGAGGCGGCACGGGTCGAAGCGGAGGAGCAGGGCAGCTGAAGTTCATAACCAGTCAGAGAGGGTGAGATCAGAGTCAGATGCTACTTGTGTTGCAATCTTACAGTTGAGCAAGGTGGCTTGTTTCTTATGGTGTATGTAATTTGTGCTGATGATGCAGAGACGAAGGGACCGGATCAACGAAAAGATGCGGTCACTGCAAGAACTCATACCCCACTGCAACAAGGTAAGAAATGAGTAGTATCATGCATCTTTTCTGATCAGGTGCAAGTCCCTGGAAGGCCTGGATTCATTCATTTCTGTTGGTGAATGGCGACATCTCTAATTATCACTTACATATGTTTCTTTCCTTTCCAATGTTTATTATTGAATTTCAGGCTGACAAAGCATCAATATTAGATGAGGCGATCGAGTACTTAAAGTCCCTCCAAATGCAAGTTCAGGTTAGGAGTTTACTGTTTCCTCTACCTGAACCCACAGACCTAACCCCAAATGGCATCATTTTTTGTTGAGAGAGAAATACGGCATCAGTTATTGGTTCCTAATTGAGACTGAAATCTACCTCAGATTATGTGGATGACCACCGGGATGGCGCCAATGATGTTTCCTGGTTCTCACCAGTTCATGCCGCCGATGGCCGTGGGCATGAATTCGGCATGCATGCCTGCGGCACAGGGTCTAAATCAGATGGCAAGAGTGCCATACATGAACCATTCTTTGTCAAATCACATCCCTATGAGCCCATCTCCAGCAATGAACCCTATGTACATTGCAAACCAGATGCAAAACATTCAGCTGAGGGAAGCAAGTAACCATTTCCTTCACCTAGATGGCGGGCAAGCAACGGCACCTCAGGTATAAACTGACCATAGTACCACTTCTCCTATGTTCTTAATTTTGGTGCAAGGGACTTCTCAGCCCTCTTTCATTGTTCACCTAGCTTTGGTTTCAATTCTTTGCAGGTAGCAGGACCATATGCTTATACACCACAAGTAGCACCGAAAAGCCAGATACCGGAAGTGCCGGATTGTACTGCTGTGCCAATTTCTGGGCCCGGACAACCACCTGCACCTGATGGAATTTAGAGTGACCTTGAACTAGTAAGAAGTTGTACTGATCCACACATGTTTCTTATTCAATGGCATTTGTGATGTCTAGATAACTTGAGCTGCATATCAGCACATTGGCACTGATCATTCTTTGACTGCTTATTAAGCTCTTGTGGTAGCCACCCTACATAAAAGAAAACTCACCGATTTATGCGTATCATTATTCATCTTGTATATGGAACCAGAGCTGTGTACTGTTTCACATTTTATTAAAAAAAGAATAGTCTGGATGAGCAGTATGCAAAGCAATCCTCTTTTAGCTTAACCTTTCTCATACCGAAAAAGGCTTACGCCCCGCTTTATAAATAAAGCAACTGCCACAGAGCATACATACCACATAGGTCCACACGAACACACACGAGTCTCACGGAAAAGAACAAAGGTTCTGCTGAGGGCACAGCTCAACAAGCCCAAAAAAGAGAAAAAAAAAGAAGAGAACAACAACATCACAGCGCACCCAACACAAGGTGGCTAATCGGGCTCCGGCGGTGGCGGCGGCGGCGGCGGCGAAAGGCGGACGGCCATCGATCGGATGTCGGCGATGAAGGCGGAGATGGCGTCACGGTCCGAGGGGCGACTAAGCGGCCGCCAAAGCTGCAAGAAACCCGAGAATTTGAAGAGAGCGTCAGTAGGGCGACGAAGGGGAGCGCGCTGGATCACAAGTTTATTGCGAACGGTCCACAACGTCCAAGCAAGCACCCCAACTTCCAGCCACCTAATGTGGCGAGAGGATACAGGGGACAGTTGGAGTTCAGCAAAAAGGTCCGGGAAGTTGGTGTGGCACCAATTCCCTCCGACCACCTCGCGAAAGCAGCTCCAGAGGAATTGTGCGGAGATGCAGGAGAAGAAGATGTGGTTTGAGTCCTCCGGGACACCACAGAGCGGGCAGATACCGGTGCCTGGGCCATTGCGCTTGCGGACCTCCACACCAGACGGCCATTGCGCTTGCGGACCTCCACACCAGACGGAAGCCTACCACGGATCCATTGCCACATGAAGATGCGAATCTTCAGTGGCACCCGAACGATCCAGATCATCGATAAGGGGAGGGGTGCGAAGGAAGGGGCGATGGCCGAATATAGCGACTTGGTGGTGAACAAGCCCGACGGCTCGAGCCGCCACCGGGTACGGTCCGGCCTGTCATCCACCAGTGGCTCGTGCAATGCGACACAGTCAAGCAACTCACGCCAGGCGGCGGATTCCGCCGGCCCAAACGGTCGACGGAAGGCAAGGCGCCCCAGATCAAGAAGGGCCCTATTGACCGATATCATGGGGTCAACGGAAATAGAGAAAAGGACGGGGAAGCGGGCCGCGAAGGGGGAGTCACCAGCCCAACGATCATACCAGAAGAGAGTCGAGAGGCCAGAGCCCACGGAGATGGAGGTCCCAATGCGCAGCACCGGGAGAAGCTGAACAGTGGACTGCCAGAACTGGGAGCCGCCCGATCTCTGGCAGAAGGCAAGGGGTTGACCCCGAAGGTATTTAGTCCGGATAATGTCCAACCAGAGGCCGCCATGGCCCTGGGCGATGCGCCAGAGCCAGCGGGAGAGGAGCGCGATGTTCATCCACTTGGAGCACATGATGCCCAGGCCACCTTGCTCCCGGGGCTTGCAGATGTCAGACCAGCTGACCATGTGGTACTTCTGCTTATCATGCTCACCAGCCCAGTAGAAGCGAGACTGGATCGTAGCAATCTCCTTATGTAGGGACTCATGGAGGCTATAGAAGCTCATAAGGAACAGCAGCAGGCTAGAGAGAGAAGAGTTGATAAGAATAGTTCGGGCCGCCTTGGAGAGCCATCTCCCCTGCCAGGGCTCACACCGGGACTGGAGCTTAGAGATAGCGGGCCTCAAGTCCGCGGCAGAAAGGCGCGAGTCGCTAATGGGGGTCCCTAAGTAGGAGGAGGGGAAAGAGCCCAGGCGGCAATTAAGCCGCTTGGCGATGGCCAGAGACTCAGCGGGGGAGTATCCCATTACCATGACGTCGCTCTTATCAAAGTTGATCTTGAGACCCGACATCTGTTGGAAGCATAGAAGGAGGAACTTGAGGTTGGCGATGTCCATCTCCGAGCCTTCGACCATGATGACCGTGTCGTCAGTATACTGAAGGATGGAAATCCCGGATCCCCCAGAGAGATGTGGGGTAATCCCACGAATGTGGCCAGCCGCCTTGGCCTTATCAAGAATGGCAGCCAAGGCGTCCACCACCATATTGAAGAGGAACGGGGAGAAGGGGTCGCCCTGGCGAACCCCACAGAGGGTAGGGAAGAAGGGACCAACCTCGCCGTTGATGTTAACCGCCGTGCGACCGCAAGAGACCATTTGCATGACTCTAGTGATCCAGCGGTCATCAAAGCCCTTCCGAAGAAGGACTTCTCTAAGGAAAGTCCAGCTGACCGAGTCATAGGCTTTGTGAAAATCGATCTTCAAGAAAACCGCCTTGAGGTGTTTGGACCGGACCTCGTGAAGGACCTCATGGAGGACCAAAACACCATCCAGGATATATCGTCCTCTAATGAAGGCCGACTGGTTAGGATGCGTAATCCGGTCAGCCAGCAGGGTCACCCTATTGGCGTACCCTTTGGCCAAGATCCGGAAGATCACATTAATGACCGTGATCGGCCGGAACTGGCGGATGTCGGACGCCCCAGGGATCTTGGGGATGAGGGAGATGATCCCATAGTTGAGGCGACCTAGGTCGATGGCACCCACAAAGAATTCCTCAAAGATGGCCATGACCTCGGGTTTAATCACGTTCCAGAAGGTCTGGAAGAAAATAACAGGGAGGCCATCAGGACCAGGAGCTGAAGAGGAATTCATCCCCTTGATAGCCTCCCAGACCTCCTGCTCGGAGAAGGGAGCCGTCAGGGCGGCATTTTCCGCCCTGGAGACTAGCTGAATACCGGCCCAACAATCCTGGGCGAGGGAAACGCCGCTCCGAGGAGCGGCGGAGAAAAGGGACCGATAGAAGCCATCGACATGAGACCGGATGTCGCGAGGGTCCTGAAGAAGAGTGTCCCCATCCCAAAGGAGGGGGATGGTGTTGCGCCTACGGCGACCGTTGGCGATCGCCTGGAAGTAAGTGGTATTCGCATCACCCTTCAGGACCCACTTCTGGGCGCCCCGAATGCGCCAATAGGCCTCCTCATCAGAGTGGATCACGGAGAGTTGGTCTTCGAGGGCATAACGGGAGAGCCACTCATCCGGAGACAAACCCACCGAGTCAGCCCGTAGGTCAAGAGCTTGAATCGCGGAAAGCAGCGCTTTCTTGCGCTCTCTGGCATCTCGCCCAAGGTTGGCCCCCCATCCCTTCATAAACTGTCTACCACGTTTCGCACAGAAATGCCACGTGTCAATAGCCGAGGGAGGCCTGGGATGGGGGTGGGCTCGGGCCTCAATCCACCGGGCGCAAACCGCGTCCGTGAATCCTGCCTGGGAGATCCAGAAGGTCTCAAAGCGGAAGCGAGGAGTGATCGGCGGGCGATCGTCCGCAGAGGAGAGAAGGAGGGGGACATGGTCCGAGCCAATCCTAGTGATGGCGCGGAGAGAGGAGAGGGGGCAGCGGAGGTCCCAATCCGGGGAGACAAGGACCCTGTCCAACACGGACTGAGTCGGGGAAGATTGTCGATTGGTCCAGGTGAACCGTGCACCAATCCTATCAATCTCCCGAAGGGCGAGGTCAGCGATGAAGTCATTAAACATCTGCATTCTGGCAAAGCACACATTGCCGTTGCTCTTGTCTGCCGCCACGCGCAGCAGGTTAAAGTCGCCACCCACCACCACGGGGAGGGAGGCTGCCGAGATTTTAAGATGAAGCTCCTCGAGGAAGGCAGTCGACCTACTATGGTCGGCAGGCCCGTAGACAATGATGATCTCCCATTTGAAGTTGAGAGATCTCTCGAAGAGCTCCATGCTGACATAGAATTCCCCCCGGTCCATACTGCCCACCTCGAATGTGGCATCCTTTACGCCTAAAAGGATGCCACCCGAGTGGCCCGAGCTCCCACTAGAAGGGAGCCAGTGCCACGCAAAGAGGTGGGAACTCCAACGATCGAGCTCGGGGAGCGAGAATTCGCGACGCATGGTCTCCTGGATAGCAACGATGTCGATGTGTTCCTCTCGCATGTACTCCACAAGTTGGCGGCGACGACCATCATGGCCGAAGCCACAGATGTTCCAGAAGAGGGCCCGCATTATGGGGCCATCGGGGGGCTGCTTGACCCCAGGACACGGGAGGCACTCTGCGCGCGAAGAGCGGCAGTGCGGGAGCGGGTACGGCCTCGGATCTCGCTCGGAGGTGGGGGAGCCGGTCG